CCCGCGCGACCCGTGACCCGCATGGGCTCGACCCGGATGGGTCAGCGGGCGGGCCTGGGTTGTAGTCCAAAATTGTGGGCCGACCCGTAACCGGCCCGGAACCCGTAGCGGGCGGGCTTTTTTTCACGCGGGCCGTTACCGGGCTCACATGTTGGCGGGCCGACCCGACCCGGACCACCCGGATTGACACCTCTATATGTTACCATATGATACAATTTAAACAATAATAATATAAAAAATGTATACAAGTAGCATGATTATTCGCCTAACATCATGCATTGGAATTGATTTTGAAGAACAATCATGATCATGACGAGTTCAACAGTTAGAAAGTGACAAACTATCATTTAACAATTTCAAAAGAAGAAAAAATTCTCCAATATTTATTTTAAAACAAAGCATGTATGAATTTTACCTTAAAAATTAACAATCATGCAAATATATTTGGGCTGATACTCCGATTAATACCCTACTCACGTGAGGGTGAAACCCACTCATAATAAAATAATCGCATACCCCATGAAGGTGAGAGGGAGATGTCATCCATAATATAATCCGCTCGAGTAATTAGTCTATTTGTAAATTCTTTGTCTATGACATTTCAATAATAGTGAAGCAGCTAAGTTTGAGACGTGCAATTCAATAATAAGTTTAGACTCCATCCATCCAACTTCCACACATAACTGTTGAATCTTGTTACATGTACCATTTAGAGTACACTTTGGTTTACCCGACCTCCTATGTGAGGAAGTAGACGAGATCGAGTAAACCAAAGTATACTCCAAATAATACAAATAGCATAATTCCATAACTATTTCATGTCATTAATGCAATAATAAACAAATAATTGATGTGACATCTCACCTACCACTTTTATATGTAGCACTTGTCTAGGAGCCATCTTTATCAAATTTTAATCTAAAATGCAACCATTATACAGTAAATTTCATCAGCCTGATATGAATTGGTTCCCTTTCATAGAAACACGACTCCACACCATAGAAGAAAGGACATTCTTGCTAACATCTTTCTTCAACACCAGTCATTTATTGTACTGTATAATGACTAAATTCAGATTAAATTCTCTAAAAATAACCACCAAACAGGTACTTAAAAGAATATGATAGAAGAAATGGCACATCAGCTATGTAATTTATGGTTGCATTAACATTACATACTTCCAGTCTCTTGTAATCTCAAAGATATGTATTCAGAACTGTCATAGTTCTCCTAAGATCAAAGTCTATAGAATGTAAATTAAGCCCCTGTTTGCCCCCCATTAATTTTTTTTTTGCACATTGTCACTCTTTTCAACATACAAACCTAACAATTGACTGAAGGCAGTGTCAGACACATTTATTGCGATCCCAGCCGTTGGCCAATTAAATGACGAAAACGCTCTTGCCCTCATTCTGACATTTACACAATATTAGAGGCGAAATTATCATTTTGACAATGAGTTGTTATATTAAAATATAAAAAATTCATTTTGTTGCATCAAAGTGGCAGTGGATCCCAGCCGCCTACTATAATTGACTGAAAAAAACGAAACTTAGCCCCTGTTTGCCCCCAATTACTTTTCATTTTGCTCCATTAA